CTTTCACCCCTATGTGTGACCTTGACCTTGGCCGCAAAGACTTAATTTTTTTGTACGAGACACTCCGCCTTACAATTGTGAACATTTATGCCAAGTTATATTGAAATCCCTTTATGCATGTGGAAAGTTTGCTCCAAACTAACGTTTTTCAATGACCTCTAAGTGTGACCTTGATCTTTAACCTGGAGATCAAATTCATGCACAAGACACTGCGCCATACAGTGGTGATCATTTTTATGAAGTTTCATTAGAATCTCTTCATATGCGTAGGAGATATGCTCCAGACAAAATCCCTATATTTTATCACTTTAGTGACATTGACTATCCTCTTTAGTGGCCTTGACCTTGCATATATTTACAAAAATTTCATGTTTCACACCAGTAGTCATGATAATGACCATTTGTGTTTCAATTCGTCAATAAACGATGACTAAATGGTCCGAATACACATTTTCATATTTCATTTGAACTTTGACCCCTATGTGTGACCTTGACCTTAACTAAACGCAGGGAACTAAATTTTACACGCCACACTCCGACTCACATTGGTGAACTTTCGAGCCAAGTTTTATTGAAATTCTTTCATGCATGTAGAAGTTTTGCTCCGGACAAGCGTTTTTCAATGACCTCTATGTGTGACTTTCACCTAGAGACCTGCTTCATGTGCGCGACACAGCTTCTCATAGGGGGGGGGGCTATAATACGGACAGGCGTATAAAAATACTTACATATTTTAACAATAATTTGAAGAAACAAAAGGTACAAACTATGTACCGGAAGATGCATTCTCTATGACAGGTCATGTAAAGTTTGTCCTTCCTTTAAGAAGAAACCAACAGTTTATTATGACACTATATATTCATATTGTGACCTCCTATAGTGTTAAGAGTTTGAAACATAACATATCTCGTTTGTATGAAGACGAAACATGTTGATTTTCATATTTATATAAAGACTGTGTATTTTTAAATAAAAATTTGAGCATACAGTAAATCAATGAACGACGGAAAATGATAACCAATGTGGTAAGGAACTTAAAAATTATTGCGTTGGTTAGCAAGTTAGTATTTTTTCTGTTTATTAATTCATTTATTTTAATCTTGTCCCCGAAATCGAAAGTAGTCTATAATACCTTGAACTAATTATGACTTAGTATTCAATTTATAGTGAATATCAATAAGTTGTTTAACACGTTACATTTCGGGATGTTTATTGTATAAACGTATACATTAATCGGTCGTACCATTATGATAAAATGGCTTGTGCAAGTTATTCAGTTATTACATTTTTCATTTTTACTGCATTATTGAAGAATTGAAATATTAAACGAGCGTTACCCGAAAGGTGAAGTTTAATTGTAAGTCCATGAGTTAAATATAAGACCATGAGGGGTTCAAATGAGATGTGAGCCGCGCATGTGCAGTCAGTCTTTGAAGTTATTATGTCAATATTGTCAAAGTGGAAAAGTTAGTAAATGTGGCTTTTATTCATAAACAAAATACTAAGATGAAAGGGTGAAGGAGGGATTTTAACCCTTCATGGTCTTACATTTAACTCATGTAATTGCAATCAAACTTTACCTTTCAGGTAAGACTCGTTTAATTTTTCAATTCCATTTCGTTGAATAACGACCATCTCGTAAATAAAATGAGACTTCAAAGTGACAATGTTGATAAAATGGTGAAATATAAAACTGCAATCACCCTTCATGCTAAGAATTGCATTCTGGAATGCATTATCTTGAACAACTCTTTTTTTTGTAAAATTTAGCAAATGTACTCTCTCTTGTCCAACCCGCTGTAATTATTACATGTCCACTATTGACACAGATCTTGCACTAGCTTTTGAAGTTGTTGCAGACCTAACACTATAAGCACCAAACACATTTATATCTATTCATGCTCTACACATAATTGTTTTTATCCAGCGAGCAATAGGGTCTTTAGCTATAGATTTATGTGGCTTAACATAACTGAGAAACAGTGAATCTTTCTGCTTGCGATCTTACTTAGTTCTCTTTGAATATTCTTTCATAATAAAATAAGAACATAATCTTCTATCTATGTTTTTACCCTAAATATCGAACAGTTTTAAAGTCAAATCTTTTAAAGATAAATGTTTAACTGGTGACAATGAACGGAGATAATTTAAAACTTTGTTAACGTCCCAAATTACGGAATAACGAGATTCTGTGGGACGCAAATTATATACTCCTTTGAAATTCTTATCACTAAATGTTTCCAGTTTAATACCAAGGGAGGACAATGCTGACGTAGCTTTATTTATTGCACTGTATCCTAACCCGTTTTCAAATAAGTTTGTACGAAACTCTATTACGTTTTTGGCAGACGGTGAAATTTGATCAATTTGTCTTTTACTGCAATACTGTAACCATTTTTGTATATATGCCTGATATCCCTCCTTTGTTTATAATCTCAAGGAGGCCATGAAAATATTGGCTGCTTTTTTAAAAAAAAAAACCCCCTGTTTCTGAAACCCTCCTGACACCAGAATGCTATCATTACCATTCGTCCCGAAAATTTGGGTGTGTTTTCTTGTGAATGAGGTTTGAAAATGTATATATTTTGTTTTCCAAAGGGGAAAAAATTTCCTTTTGGGAAAATCGACTAAAAAGGTTTTTATAAAGGACTGAACCTTTTGAGTTTTTCCCAAAAAGAGGAAATAAAAATCGCCTGGTTGAAATGGGGTTTGAAAATTTTTTGGGAAAGCAGTGGCCCTCATACTGAAAGGTGGAAAATATATACAAATTCTCACCAATCTATAGAGAATGCATCAATAAAAGAAGCTGAAGGATCAAGCTTCCATGCACAGTACTTTTCCAGTTTGAAATTCAGTCTAGAAGCAAACAAGTATATATATCTGGTTTTTGCCAAATCCTACATAATGTTAAAAAACCTTTTCATTTAATCCCTATTTAATTTCATCATTGAATTTTCTTGATGGACAGTCTGCTTCATTTACGGCATAAACGCTGTTGATATCCAGGATTTATTTTCAAAACACCAAGTCCAACTCCACTATATTATTGACATAGCACACTGCAGTGGTAGAATCTGACCAATTTTGTATGTGGTTGTCCTAATGTTTTATGTGTTTGTCCTGGAGTTGGTGTGTCAAGGACTGCAAAGCAAACAAAATGACCATTAATTCCAGAACACTTATATGATTTCTGCTTTCAACTATTGACCATCACCAAATTTGTCCATTATTTAAAAATCCAAATCCTAGTTTGCTCGCATCTGTTTGAATAGTGACATCAGATTGCTCCTTTACCTGTACCTTTGTGTCAATGTTATTTACCCACCATTCCAGGTCAGACTTCATACTAGATGTTACAACCATGTTTGCATCAAACTTCCCTGAATTATGTTTCAATGGCTTAGTTTTAGATATTTCTAAATGTCTGTAAAAAAAGCTTACCATATTCCACTGCAGAAAAAAAAGCAGAAACCATTAGACCTATACATTTTGCCACTTGCCTTATGGTTGCTTGATTTTTATGCAACAAAAGTTAAAGGCCCCCAAACAAAAAATGTATGAGGGGTAGAATGTTGCATAAAATACTACATGTGTATATTCTTTCTTCAATTAAGCCTTATCTGATAACTTATCTGTAACTTTTTATCTGCACTTTCAATCTTCGTCGAAGGTTTGACTTGTGAACCTTTGGTAGCTTTACCTTTTTGTAGTTCCTAATACAGTGTCATCAACTTGATCTGTTGACTTCTTATTTTCGCTTTTATTAGACATGATCATGTTTTGAAGACACGCACGTTGTCAAACGACGTGCAATTAAAAAACACACAAAATTGTGATATAAAAATCCGAACAACGTCCGGAAATAGACTGTATATAAATCGTGATGAACACTGAACAAATGATGTAACTTTTAGGGAACTTCGTCCACTAACTATACCAATAAATCGAAATTATCGGAAGAATTTACACTAAAAACATCGACTAGCGGAAACGCTAAGCACACTGACTACGTATGCGCGGCTCAGATCTCATTTTATTTACAGAAATGGTCGTTATTTAACGAAATGGAACAATAGTAAATCCAAAAGCGTTGTGATTACAGAGTTCAGATAATGAAGAGCTAAGGTTGTGAAAATGGTTAGAGAGTTGTTATCTGCAATCGTGCACATTTTTTGAGGTTCAAAATATATTTTACAGTGTGTCACCTAGTTTCTTTTTTTAATTTATTTTCTCTTTTATAAACCAGTAGTCTATTTAAAATTTAACACAATTTAAAGTTAAACTTGTAAAATTTAATTTATTTGATTTTTAACTATAATTTAACATATTGAATTGTTCTATTGCTCATTTATCAACATAATCACGGCTGTGTTGTCTTAAACATAACCTGTTGATTGCAAATGTGCGTAAAACTAAATGTTCTCAATAGCAATATGTGAATGAAATTCACGAGGAACTAAAATCCATTTCGTTGATAAATATCTTTAACAAAAATAAATGAAAAATGTCTTTCCAATGATTCGAACCAGGGTCTCTACAATTACGAAGCAAATACTCTACCACTTCCCTATTAGGCTTAATTGATAAAAAAAATGAGTAATTGCTTATGTGGTTTAAAATTTAGGTGATAAATAGTATGTTTTACATAAGATTTATCGACACCCCTATTTGTCAATATTGATGTAAACAGATAATGAAATGAATAGCTGTACAACATTTTTCAAACTTTTGACAATAGGTTTTAATTTGATTTGTACTTCAAGGTATGTTCTAATAATATATTGTCGGTATTCTGTTTTGTTTCTTAATTTTAAATATACATGTAGTGCAATTTCATTACCGGCACGGCTTTCTTTCAATTAAAGACTAAAGAATTGATTTGCCGCCCTAATTATTCACTTTTCATGCCGTAACTTACGATGTTCTATGTTCTATATAAAGAAATGATTCATCTAAGGTCAATGTCGCCACCAAACAATAGCGTGATATTATGAGGTTATCATACAGTGTTGAGCATAATACTGATTTTTTTTCGACACAGCCGTCAAACATATGTAGAACGAAGCGTTAGTTGATAAGGCTTTGCAAATGTGTGCGAGTATAATTTATTAATGGTTTATTTTGAGGATCTGACAAAAATTAAATAATCGTAAAAGTTGCACTTTTTTTCTTAAAATTGCAGACTATAATTATTGGAAGGTTAAAATGGAAGGTTGTCTGGTTGATTGTCTTCGTCTTAGTTGGTGCTTTCTTCGATACTTTGCACAGGGACTTTACAGGTATAATAACAGGAGAACAATCAATTATATTATTTCAATTAAATACTATTTAAAATGTTCTGTTAAAATGTATCGGTACTACTATACCGTTATGTAAATGCAAGTTGGTTTCTCGCATAAATTTTAAGCTTTTCAAAAATGTCCAAATTCCGTAAAGAACACTGGCCTGTTTGCTACATGAGAAACACGAGTTCGTCTGGGCCTGGCTTTTGTTAGGGTTAAATTACAATTAAGACGTAGTCAATAAACTATTTATAGGCACATTTAAATATTCGCGTTTAACCTCGAGATTTAGCAACATTAACACCTATTTGAAAACGAAGATAATTTAAGATACTTAATCGGATATAGATATTTAATAACTTAAAATAACACTTTCACTTAACAAAAGTCAAATTAAGTCTAAAATTTTAAATCTTGGTAAAGATACCTAAAGTTAAGAAAATTTCACGCATCATGCTAACGTACTGTAGATCTTAAACATATACATGTGTGTATATATTTAAGTCTAATGACATAAAACCAACTTTAGGACTAACTTATGACCGTTTCATTAAACATTTTTATTACCAGTCAAATACAGTAGATTATAAATAATTGCATTATCTTGAGAAACGTCAAGAAATACAGTGACAGACCTTTTTATTCGCAAAATGTAAATGCTCATCAGCATTGCTATTCAGAAATTAAGAGAGTCATAACATAAGAGTTATAAGTTAGAACATTTTCTTTGAAACGTTAAATTGTTTCTGTTAGGGTCTAAAGACTGATTTCAGGCTTAGGACTTTTTATGAAACGCAGCTCTGATAACCTCTGAAACCACAAAGGTTTGAGCTTAGATATTTGGCCAAATCACAGTGGTCATTGGTTTTCTATTTATGTATATAGTGAAAACTTTTCTCATGAAACCCCATAGGCTGTAGCTAAGATATTTGTCATGAAACATTGTGACTTTGTCTAGTTGACCTCTTTCAAGTTTTCTCAAATTATACCCTTGGGGTAAAAGTAAGCCTATGATCTAGAATCATGATCCAGTGTCATTCCTTTTGTATTAAAAGCTACAGCTAGAAATTTGGACTAGATTCACATTTACAGTTGCAAAATTGAACTTTGATATCAGATTTTGATCAAATGACCTATTTTTTATCTTAAGAGCTAAAGCTATAAAATTTGGACTATAGTATACGCACAGTTTCTGATGTATAACTAAAAAAAGTTAGTACCCCCCGGACTTTTAAAAAAATTTTGTGTTGAAAAGCCTGTCATGAGATACGAAATTGAGTAAGAAAAAGGGTGATAGGGCGATTCCCACAATTTTTCCCGCGCAACGTCAAAATATTACTTCTGGGGGAAACCTTTAATTTCTCTGGTACAAAGGACAGCAACCCCTTAACCGAGACAAAAACAGAATTAAATTTGCTCAAAGCAAGTAAAACTATTTTTTTTTTTTTTCATCGAATGTCATTTAATTTTAAAAACTTTTTATCTTTACTACATGAAAAATGTTCTTTAAATTAAGTCGGGATGTGAAAAACATTTAGGGTTTTATAAAAAAAACTTGTTTGTTTACAATTAAGTTTTCTAGTCCTTCAGTTTTTAAAACTGGTCAAAATACAATATAGATATGTACATTATTGTCATATGAACAAGTTACAAAACATAAATAACCCGTTTTTTGTATATTTGGTATGATTTTATGTTTCCACGTGTGTATTTCAAGGCACCGCACAACTTTGTCAATCATAAGATTAGGGCACCGCATTATTCCTCCTTAAAATCACCGCATTTTTCTGTCTTTTTAGCACCGTTGATTTTTGATATTAATGTTTGCTTTCAGAAAAAGAAGACGTTCAAACCTATGTCTGAACAAGCCAAAGCAACGTGCGAAATTGGCAAAGCTGCAGATACTGCAGCAACTGGATAGTGCCCAACTAAGTCTTCTGATATCAGCAGTACGCCAATGGATCAGCGCCTCCCTGTATTTCAGGACGATATGCGTAACGCACCACATAAGAAAAAAGAATTTGAAGTTCAAACTTTCGCAAAAGATTGTTTTAAAAAAAGCACATTGGAGACGATGACTGAAGAGATTATGGAAATATTGCCGGGTTCCTGCAAAAACTACACCATGAAAATTTGTGTTATGACTCTTGCAACTTTATCAAATTAGTATGCAATAAGAAATTCCCATTAACAAATAGTTCATTCCTTTTGTTTCTCGATGTTGTTTTGATGACCACACGTATAGTCTGCCAAGAACGTCAATCTTTCCATGTGGGGTTTATCAGTTTGAATAAGTTCGAAAAGGAAAATACATCCTTATCTATATATAGATACCATTGCACTTATCTAACTGGTAGTATTAACACAGATCAGACCTTCAGAAATGTTCCATAACATAACGTATGATATAACAGCAACATAACATAACAGCAAGTAAACAATCTTTCATCAAACTTTCATCAAATAAAAGTTATTATAAAACATATTTGTAAGAAGATTGTATAATTCAAAAGAAGACGGTTCCAGTATTTATCGGTCTAACGGAAAAAGAATGTGTGGTGTTTGAATTCAGTGTTGTTACGGTGCTCCAATATTCGGGTCAGTAGGCCTTTTTTCAACAAATATTCCCTGAAATTTACGATAGAAACACACAATTTTGTATGGAACTTGAACTTAGGGTTAACCATAATAAATATACGAGCTCGTTAGGCCATTGAACAAAGACATCGTCGTTATAACACATGTTTTTGTGACAAGTACGAGTCATGTTGAGGTACACACGATCTTTTGTAAACACTATTTCTTCGAAGTATGTGTTTTTTTTTTAATTGTATTGTGCTAGATTAACAATAAATTGTCTCAAAAATTCGATGGAATACTTAAACAATTGGAAATATCTTGCAGTGTCCAGCAGTAAGATATTTTGTAAGCTATTACCTGGAATTTGTTTATCCCGCCATTAATATTTTGTCCAGAAATATACGGTGTCTCGGTCAGAAGGATGATATTTTGACGTTGTGCGGAAAAGTTGTGGTAATCGCCCTATCACCGTGAAATAGTAATTTGATATGTAGCCATCATTCCAATTTAAGTTTGCTTGTTTGTTTGTTTTTGGGTTTTACATCGACATATTATAGGTCATATCGCGACGTTCCAGCTTTACTGGTGGATGAAGACCTCAGGTGCTCTTCCGTGCATATTTCAGGCACGAACGGGCACCTGAGTAGAACCACCGACGTTCCGTAAGCTAGCTGGATAGCTTCCTCACATGAAAGAATCCCGGGATTCGGGATTCGAACCCTCAGCGGTGTGGGGCAAGTAATTTGAAGTCAACGACCTTAACCACTCGGCCACGGACGCCCCACTCCAATTTAAGTAATCATAAACCAGTAAATGAGTTTAGTTTATTCTTAACCAAATTATTGAAGCATAAGCAAATGCGTTTTGTTTTTACCAAAAATGTAAATGTTTATAAGTATGGTGTTGGGAGTGTTACAAAACATTTACTGGTGGATAGTTTTGGTAAATGTTGACGATTACGTAACCTAAAATGACAATATGTCACCAATTTTTTAATAATGTGTGTAATCGCCGAGTGCCCGGATGACAACCTTATGCGATTTTGAAGCAAATTTTGCCATTCTTTGTGCAGGGCTTGTTCCAGTTGATACAGGCTGACAACAGGTGGTTCGTATTACTGCCCAAATAAAATTTAAAATTTCAGTTGTGGTCATGTCAATATTGAGGCAAAATGTCGGTGTGCTTAACTTATTTCCAGGTGTTTAGAATTAATTATATATAAAATATGTGTGTGTGTCTTATAAAGACAGTGTTTCTCAGGTAAACGATATAGGCATCTGACCCTCTTGTTACAAACATATCACTTGATGCATATGTTTATATTTGCATAAGTTTCAATCCTTAAAATGCAATAAATTAAAACTAGTAGTTAAAATTTATCAGCTAAATACATTTCAATATGAGCAAAATTTAGATTTTAGTAAACCTGCATATCTTCATTCAAAATGCATGATAGCCAATAATAGCAAAGCTGCATGCCTCCAGATGAGCCAACATATTTTAAAAAGTAAACTTGAAAAATGTACTAAAATTTTAAGAAAAGTAGAAAGATTTATGTTTGAGTTATGTTCGAAAGTATTATCACCATACTTTTACTGTGTTACTAACGCTAATCTCTTTTTGCTTATTTTGACCTGCTTTTGAATGCAAATGCTGTTTGCAATGTGTAAATTATTTTTCTTTGTTCACTTCACAATATTCTACTAATAAATAAATTTTGAAACTTTTCATAAAAAATTAGCTTGAACGTGGGGGAATGCTGCTTATAAGCATTTCCTAGCGGGTCAGGAAATCAAAAGGTATATCAAACTTTTGTTTCAAAAATATTATTATGCAAAAAAAAATTTTAAAAATATCTTCAGACTAATTGAACCCCAAAATGAAGCAAATTCAAAACAAGAAGATAAAACATCGCCACCGTCTCGAAGAGATTCAAAGGAAGAGACAAAGATTCATGATGAAAAGACTGCAGCTAAAATGGAAACTAATATAAATTTAGAAAGAACACATCACAATGATAGATCTTCGGTCCGACATCGAACTTTTTTGAAGAAACGAACCAGCACTCGGAAAAATGAGAATCCGTATGAAAAACATGATGCTGTAAACCAATGTAGTACGATGCCGCTATGTAGAATTGAAACTGCATCTGAGAATGAAGCTGTAAAACACAACAGCCGATATCTTGGTATATCTACATCACAAAAAGCAGATAAGCAAAGAGGAAAATTGATAAATAAGCACCATACTGATCTTTGTAGTACAAAACCCAAGGAATGTAATGAAATGGTAAAGAGCTGTGAAACAATAAAGAGAAATGAATTATCAGATATTATAACAAAAAAAAACTACAAGGACAATATTTCAACATCACATTTACATTCTGCATCTGCCAGTGCCTTTAGGACTGCATTCGAAAATAAAATATGCCAACCAAGATCTCAGTTGAAAAGTAAATTGAACGGTCATAATTTCTGTAACAATGATTTCCTCCACTCGGACAAAGTAAAAGAATCTTCACAGCCACAAATTAAACCTTTACCCACAGAACATAAATGCATAACTTCATGTCTTGTAAAATCCGAAACTGAAACAAACAAACGACCAAATAGGGTAACTTCAAATTCTTCAATACATGAAAAGTCCGTATCAACAAGCCGGGGCAAAACCTTAACATCACATTTACATTCTGCAAGCGTAGAAAATAACTCTGTCGCTGCATCTGTCAGTGTGTCTAGGGCTGTATATGAAAGTAAACTTTACCAGCCAAGATCAAAGGTGACAAGTGAATTTAACGGTAAAAAATTATGTTACAATGATTTCAACTCAGACATAAAAAATAAACCAACGTGTATTCACCACGATTGTTTTTCACAGCCACAACCATGCATAACTTCATTTCATGAAAAATCCGATACCGAAACAAATCAACGACCAAATAAAGGCATGGTAACTTCAATGCAACAAAAGCCCGCATCAACAAGTCGGGGCAAAACCTCAATGCAAAAGGTACATATAATTGAAGGACCAACACGAACACAGTCAGGTGAAAGAAATAAAAGGAAAATAAAAAGAAACAGAAGCATAAAAAAAACGTATGAACGCTTTGATGAAAGCCGTTTAACATTGCAAAGCAACAACAGACAAACTTTTATTCAGTACGGTTACAAAAACAAAAATGCTCAAAGCTACAGTGAATCATCAAACTGCAATTCTGATTGGAGATACCAGGGTTTTTCAAATTCTTTATTTGAAAGACCCTGGAGATACAAACCGTCGTACAACAGTATAAGACGCAAAAAATATCGAAAAACCCAACTAAGTAGCCAAAATCTTGATTTAATTCTCCAATTCTATACTGAAAAAACCACTTTAGCTATTGATATTAAATATGAAACACATAAAAACATTGATGGGCTTCTGTACATTATTCTTACGAATGGAGAGAACGATGGTCGCTTTTCAACAGATGCTATCATCGAAGGTTCAAATGCTGTTGGGGTAAAAGTAGGAAAAGCAGATGAGTTAGACTACAGTGTGGACATCCTAATCAATTGTCAACAAAAAGAAGTGTCTGATGAGCCGGTTACTTTCGAATTCAATGATGACGACATTGACAGTCATGATAGAAATGAGGTAAACGTGATACATTCTTTAACTGTCTTTTTTAATTTCGCTTGCGCAAATACTTTAATTCATTGGTTTGTGATATAAATAGATTTAAGTATTTCTCCATCCTTACTGATAAATATATTTTAATCAGGTTAAAAACCCCATTTTAATCAGGTTAAAAAAACTATCCATGTATCCAGAAGAAGTTTGAATTCTACACTCGTATGCTTAAGTTAAACTTCTGATAATTCATTTCCATTCTAGGTTTCATCGATCTTCGTAAACGCAGGGAAGCGATATTTTCCTGACGAGAGGAGATTATTATGTCCAAACCCTTACGTACCCTACGTTCCTGGTGGCTTTAAAGCTGTCTATGTTTCTCGGCGGTTTAATAAAAGATTTCCAAATTGCTGTGTAAAGGATAGAAATCGGAGGTTGTTTTTGCCATACTATCTTCTGTGCGATTTTCACGACTTTGTCAGTAATGCTGTGTATGGTATGTTTACTTTATTCTGATACCGTAAGTGGTTACATTATCGTCACTCGAGAAAAAAATTCATGTGGAATACCTGAAGCGCTCAAATTGTAAATACTTATATATATTTTAACCAGAATTAATATCATCCAATTTTTTTTGCATTTTCCACTGTTATGATCCATTGTTTTTAAACAGTAAATGTAAATTTCAGGAATTTATGGGGTTAGCTTAAACCGTGGCGTTAAAGGTCCGGCTGTATCGCTGACAATTCAACAGGACGAAGGGCCAAATATTTCCGTAGATATTACTCCAAAATTAACCGTTCCAAATGTGACAATGAGTGTCACAGACTTTGGATGGCCAAGACGCGACACTTATAAATGGCTAACGGAAGAAAAAATAGACAGTGTTATATGTCAGCAGATATATTTGGTGCCTAAAGGAGACAAATATTGGAAAATATCGTATGCAAACTGCGAAAATGAACTTTTGAGAGATATTGATAAAAGAAACACGTGGCGGAAAGCATGCCTTAGAATCATGAAAAAGAAGTTGATGCAATGGAAGTCAAAATCTACGACCGGATTAAAGGGAATTTCCTCGTACCTATTAAAGGTATTTAGTTTTCTATATCTGGTTCTTATGTCAACATTGTTCAGTAAGATTACATATAAGATAAGTTCAAACAATCTTTACTTATTTTATCATCATTATTAATTGACAAAGAAATGTGATTCATATACAATTTGATACATTATAATTATTATCTATAGGACATAAATTTGACTTTCAGACAACACTTTTGTGGCTGTGTGAAATTTTACCAGAAGATAAATACTGGTACAAAGAAAAACTAGCCAACCGTTACCTGAACTTTTTACAAGAGTTTGCATATCGTCTACATTTACGAAACATAGGGGAGTATTTCAATCCAGATGTTAATCTGCTTGAAAAGAAGGATGGTGAATGTATTGATGAACTTGAATATTTATTACGAGTAGAAATTTTCTTCCAAAAAAATTTTTCGTTAAGAAATGTCTTCAGTATAAGACGCAAAAAATATTGGAAAACCCAACTAAGTAGCCAAAATCTTGATTTAATTCTCCAATTCTATTCTGAAAAAGCCACTTTTGATATTGATATTAAAAATGAAACACATGAAAACATTAATGGGCTACTGTACATTATTCTCATGAATGGAGAAAACGGAGGTCGCTTTTCAACGGAGGCTATCATCGAAGGTTCAAATGCATGTTGGAGTAAAAGTAGGAAAAGCAGATGAGTTAGACTACAGTGTGGATATCCTAATCAATTGTCAACAACAAGTAGTGTCTGATGAGCCGGTTACTTTCGAATTCAATGATGACGACATTGACAGTCATGATAAAAATGAGGTAAACGTGATACATTCTTTAACTGTCTTTTTTAATTTCGATTGCGCAAATACTTTAATTCATTGGTTTGTGATATAAAAAGATTTAAGTATTTCTCCATCCTTACTGATAAATAAATTTTAATCAGGTTAAAAACCACATTTTAATCAGGTTAAAAAAACTATCCATGTATCTAAAAGAAGTTGGAATTCTACACTCGTATGATTAAGTTTAACATCTGATAATTCATTTCCATTCTAGGTTTCATCGATCTTCGTAGACGCAGGGAAGCGATATTTTCCTGACGAGAGGAGATTATTATGTCCAAACCCTTACGTACCCTACGTTCCTGGTGGCTTTAAAGCTGTCTATGTTTCTCGGCGGTTTAATAAAAGATTTCCAAATTGCTGTGTAAAGGATAGAAATCGGAGGTTGTTTTTGCCATACTATCTTCTGTGCGATTTTCACGACTTTGTCAGTAATGCTGTGTATGGTATGTTTACTTTATTCTGATACCGTAAGTGGTTACATTATCGTCACTCGAGAAAAAAATTCATGTGGAATACCTGAAGCGCTCAAATTGTAAATACTTATATCTATTTCAACCAGAATTAATACCATTCATTTTTTTGCATTTTCCACTGTTATGATCCATTGTTTTTAAACAGTAAATGTAAATTTCAGGAATTTATGGGGTTAGCTTAAACCGTGGCGTTAAAGGTCCGGCTGTATCGCTGACAATTCAACAGGACGAAGGGCCAAATATTTCCGTAGATATTACTCCAAAATTAACCGTTCCAAATGTGACAATGAGTGTCACAGACTTTGGATGGCCAAGACGCGACACTTATAAATGGCTAACGGAAGAAAAAATAGACAGTGTTATATGTCAGCAGATATATTTGGTGCCTAAGGGAGACAAATATTGGAAAATATCGTATGCAAACTGCGAAAATGAACTTTTGAGAGATATTGACAAAAGAAACACGTGGCGGAAAGCATGCCTTAGAATCATGAAAAAGAAGTTGATGCAATGGCAGTCAAAATCTACGACCGGATTAAAAGGAATTTCTTCGTACCTATTGAAGGTATTAATTTTCTATATCTGGTTCTTCCTCTATTTCTTTATGTCAACATCGACCAGTAAGATTACATATAAGTTTAAACAAATCTTATTTATTGTTTCATCATTTTTAATTTTAAGCAATAAAATTTAATATTATATAGCTTAATATACAGTTTATTACATAAATTGATTAATATGTAGGATTTAATTTGACTTTCAGACAAAAACTTTTTGTGGCTATGGGGTTTGAAATTTTACCAGAAGATGAATACTGGTTCAAAAAGAACTAGCCCAAAACCGCTTTTTCTGAACTTTTTAGCAAGAATTTGGCAATCGGTTCTCCATAAACGGACCGCATAGGAGAAACTTCTAATCGCGACCGTTTAAATTTACTTGGAAAACAAGGATGAAATGTATACTTTGAACTTAAAAGATTTATAGATGAAGAAATGCTCTTTTTGTTTATTTCAATGAAAAAAGTTGTAAATTTGGCGAAACATTGCAATGCTTCGTAAGCAATATAATTTTTAAGGATTTCTGCATACCCGTGGGACCATAAGTAATGAATATTTTATTAATATTTTGTCAAAAAAAAACCTATTAACCCAATAATTCTTTAAATAATGAGAGTTACCTTATTACCACTTTACAAAAATTGTTAATTGAAGATGTAAAATTTGGATATTATTACCATTATCATTATACAACAAAACAAATGGAACTATACACAGTTTTGTTGTTTCTTTGTTGCGCCAATAAAACAAGTTTAACTTGTGTTTTTATTTTTATGTCCCCCCGGGGCAAAAAAAATTATTGAATCGTTTCCCTCCCGATTACGAGGTTAACCTCCGGCAAGTTTTGGATGTTTTTCTGAAATTCTACCTGTCCAATGACTTCATAATTTTCTATTACTAATCAATTTACAAGGGGTACATGATATCGAATTATATCTGCTGATTGCCATTCTTTTTTCCATTAAATTTTCCTTTGTTGACTTCCTTTGAAAAAAAAGGACTTGTATGGGTTTCCCATTCCCTTCGGTTTAAAAAATCCCCCAAATTTTCCTAATTTTCTTCATTTATTTTTGGTATTAAAATATTTGGGAGCCCATTAAACCCTTTTAAAGGGCCCCTAACCTTTTTTGTGGGAAAGGGGTCACTGGGGTCCCAAAATTAAGGGGCATGGGGGTAAAAAAATTAAAAACAAAAAGTTTTTTCTTTATACAGCCCTTTGGGTAATCCCTTTTAAAACTGAAATGCGTTTACATGCCCAAGGGGGTCCCCTTTTTTGGGGTTTGTTTTTGGGTCAGTTTTAAGGTTACCAAGTCACAAGTAGGTTTTTTACTATAAAGGGGTTAATCTTATTATATTGAGGGTGTTTTTTTATATTTGGGGGAAAATTTTCTTTCTTTGGATGGAGTTTTTTGGGGTCAGTTTTGGGTTTAAAGGGGCACCAATTTCTAAAAATTTTTTTTAATTTTTTCCCTTTCAGCCTTTTGTCTTTTCATAATTTGCAAATTATAAATATTATTTCAGTGGGTCTTGGTTCAAGGGTTCCCAATAATTTAAGATTATTCTAACAACCAGTTGTTGGGAAATCAACAAAGTCCGCAAGGGCCATTTCTGCAACAATAGAATATTTTTTTAACATTTTTATACAGTCTTTTTGTATTTTTTTACCAATATAGTTCTTAATAATTAAACAAGGAACATACCTTTAAGGTGGTCCTTTCAGTTTTGGGTCCATGGTTCATCAAGGTCCAAGTTTGGCATTACACTTAGTATTTGAAAAAAGTTAAATTTGTAAGTTGAATATTTCTAAAACTACCATCAAAATTTCATAGTTAATGACTTGCCAACTTATTTATTTTTCACAATTATTAAAAAACCATGACTCTTGTCAAGTTATTTTAACTGTGCTCAATTTTTTTTTGTCCATAACTGAATGAATGGGTAAACTTTTTTTGGAAAATTGTTACTCAGACAAGAATTGAGCCAGTAGCATTTGTGTTTAATAAACACGTTCTTGCTTTTTCTGATTTTTACGGCTTATTTTAACACATTTTTGTCAAGTTTTTGGCAGTCCGATTCACCCTTACCTTTAACCGGCTTTCCTTGATAACTACTTAATAATTACAATTTCTCCAAAAATTGAGCCACTTCTAATTCCCAACATGATTAATGGAAAAAAAGCAGTGGCAGGGTGAGTGACCAAATTATATCATATAAACTCAATGTCCAAGATTTCAGCTGAAATGAGAAAAGACTGAACAAGCGGTCCCCGGGGAAACCCACCGATGGCTCATACTATTGGGGTTAAGCAGACGGCAAAAAATTAAAAAGTGCATGTTGGTTTGACAATGGGTTTCAAAACTACCTGTAAGAAAAAATAACCATAGGAAAATTTTTTCTTGATTTTCAAAAAATTTCACAGTTTAACCCCAAAACCCCAAATTTGTTGTTAATTTTAACTTTTGTTGGTTTTCCCTTTTTGGTTTTTTTTTAATTTTAAATTCTGGGGAAACAAGATATTCCCTCCCCTCCCCTTAAATTTTATAATTCAAAATGTTTTTTTTATAAGGGAAATTCACAGGTTTAAAACACAATGTCATCTTCACACAGTTTTAATTTATAAACATTAAAAAAGCAAAAAAAAATTATTAAGGGAAATTTTTTTCCATCGAAATTTTTTTTTTCTATTTACTTTTAAATTTTTTGTTTAATAAATTATTTGGCAACTTCCCCCTTTTTCAAATTTTTAAAAAAGGGAAAATTCTTCAAATTTCAGAGTTTTTGAAATTGTTTTAAAAAATTTACCTTTTTTTCATTTATTTTTCTAATTGATTTTTAAAAATAACTTTTTTGTATTTTCAATTTGTTAAAAGTTTAAAAATTTTTTTTAAAAAATTTTTAAAATATTTTTGGAAAACTTTCCCCCAAAAAACATAAAAGCATAAATTAAATACACTTTTTTATCTATATTTTCATGAAAAGTATAAAATTAACAACAAAATTAAAAAGACTCTTTAATTTACCTTTTATTTAACCATCCCAAAGGTTTCTAAAATAAAAAATAAAACCTTTATATTTTAAAGTGATTTTCTTTTTTTATATAAAACAAATTTGGCCTTTTTTGAAATTTTAAAATCCAAAAATTTTTAGTGTCTGGCCCTTTAAGGGGGCACTATATAACCCTTTTCCCGATTCGCTAAAATTTCCCAAGAAATTATTTAAACATTAATTTTTGCATTATTACAAAAGCTGACTGCCAACAGGTTTTCAATGTATTTTACAAAGAAATTTCTGTTATCTGAATAACATTGATTCCCTTCCTCAGTTACCTTTTACCATTATGTTCTAGTAAAGTTCGCAGTATAAGAAATAGCACACGTTATTTTCGCGACATTCATCATTAGCATTATTAAAGTGACCACCCAGTCATGCCCTAAAGATTGAAAGGAAGTCCAGCCTTTGGCTTTGATCCGCTTCAATGTTTACAGGCTGCGATCTGATTTTCACTATAATATCAAAGAACCCTGAGTTGCTGTGTACTATTTCTTAAAGGAATGTTTCTTGTTTTTTCTGTGTTTTAAATTAGGATCCATAAGCGCCCTTTTTTTTTAGAATACTAAAAAAAGAAACGGTGCGTATAGATCCTTAATTTATAGAAAAAAATATTGATATCATGTTAATGTCATTACTGTTAAAAGTGAACTGATATTGAAGGAATAATGTTTTTGTGAGACATTTTATATATACTCCGAGCACCTGTTTCCCTTTAAAAAAACCATACTAATAAAGCGCGTATGTACCGTGACAACACCTCATTTGACGGGATTTGTTACAGTTATAAAGTATTGGAATAAAGTGAATTTTGAACTGTCGTCAATTTTAAATTAAATCGATATGCTAACGGTAGAACCTTAAATATCACAAATGATCAACCTATTATATTTTGTAAAATAGTTATCAGCAAAATGTACTGTCGATTCAAATATGATCTAAAAGTTCATAGGGGTGGCAGGAAAAAGCCATGTACGAAAACACATTACCAGGAAAACAGGAAAATAAATATTATTATTCGAGCTGATAGAGTAGTGGTTATGGTGATTGCGTTTTAAAGCGGAAGGCGTAAAATTTTAAAAAACCAAAAAGGGGTAATACTTTTTTATAAACCCTTTTTTAATTCATTTTAAATTTTTCTTTTTATTTTATTTTTTTTTCAAATTTTTTTATTTTCTATTTACATTTTTGTACATGTATATAAAATGTCCATGTTTTTTATTCACGAGAATGCTATAGCATATATAATAAGTTTAAATTCAATTTAATTCATCAATCAAACAATGCCTTCAACCTCTGTGGCACTCACGTCGCGCTGGCACTGGCGTGTTCGTCTCCAGTGCCAAGAAAGTACCTCAATAGGTGATTACCACGGAGAATAAAAAGGCTTTCAAAAAGGTTTTCACTAAGTACAAAAAGTGTGATGGCGTCCTCCTAACAGCGCCACAACATACACCTCCACAAACAGCCTAGAACTCGCGTGCTCGCAATAAATAAATGATTTTCGTTGCAAGCCATTATGTCACGTATAGCACAAAAGATCAATTGAGTACCTGTACATTGAAAAAAAAATGAAAAAATGAAATGCTGGGATTTGAACAGGCACCTGTATAGTTGATAGACCAGTACGCTACCACTTCACTACAACTTCTCACTGTACATGAGAAGTATGGCCAATAAGTATTACAATACTATCCATACACACATGACTTACATTTTCTGAAGTGCACTTATCCATGCTATGTTTACAATAGTTCCGAAATAAATAAACTTCAACAGTACTGTCGATTCAAATATGATCGAGAATGGGAAATTTTAAATTAAGAAGTACATAGGGTTGACAGCAAAAAAAGCCATATATGGAAACGTATTACCAGAAAAACAGGTGATTGAATATTATCTCGCTTGATAGTGTAGTGGTTATGGTGGTTGTTTTGCATGCGGAAGGTCGTAAGTTCAAATACCATAAGGGGGTAATACTTTTTGTATTTTATTTTTTTTTTTTTTACTTTCTATATTGTCCATGTTTTTATTCACGAGAATGCTATAGCATATATAATAAGTTACAATTCAATAAAGTTCAACATTCAACCTCTGTGGCACTCTCAATCGCGCTGGCGATGGCGTGTTCGTCTCCAGTGCCAAAAGAGTACCTCAATAGGTGATTACTATGGATAAATGAATGACGAGGTTTTCATCAAGTTGCTTAGTCAAAGGCTAATCCCTTATATTCCAGTAAACACAGTTGAGGTAATAGACAACACATCTTATATCACTATTGGCCAGTTCAAGTTCCAAACGAAATCCAGTACTAAAAGTGTGATGACGTCCTTCAATCAGCGCCACAACATGCACCTCAACTAAACAGCTCAGGACTCGCGTGGTCGCAATAACTAGATAATTTTCGTTGTAAACCATTATGTCACTTGTAGCGCAAAAGCTCAATTGAAATGTATTAAGCATGGGATTTCATTATCTCGTATTTGGTGAAATGATTGATTCTTATTATAACTTTTAGTTATGAGATGCTAATATTTTCTACTTGTCGAGACCGTAATGGTTTAAGTAAAAAATCGAATGACAGCTTGTTTATCATGTTACTTATTTTGAGAAGTACCCGTGAATTGAATAAAATATTATTTAAAAAAATGGAAATGCTGGGATTCGAACTCGCACCAGTATACTTGATAGACCAGCGCGCTACCACTACACTACAATGTCTCACTGCAAACAGTATGCAAAGTAAGTATATCAATACTATCCATACACACATGACTTACCTTTTCTGAAGTGCACTGTTCCATATAATGTTTACAACGGTTCCGAAATAATAAACTTCAACAGTATTTATACATGTTGAGAATTTGCATGTACCATTCGTTTACTTTTTCTGAAATTTTCACTTTGTTCTCTACGTTTTGTTATAAGATTATTTTCAGCAAGGTTATTCTTACAAACTATCCGCTACATAATAATAGATTAATACCATTTTGAAGGTCCTTTAAATTAGCAATAGAAATAACCTTATTATATTCTGTACCACGCAATTTGTGATTACAATGTAATTATATCCAGATTTACATTTTCATAACATTGCCCATATAGACATAAAGGTAGAATGAAAACTGTTTCATAGAATTACCTTAAGCATTCCGGTTTCTTAGATAATTATTAAATTACACAAATATTAAGTGAAACCCCGAGGATGACGATTTATTTGAGTTTTTTGCCTTTGATTTTGTTTCTTATTTAGGTCATTCCAAATGTTTATTTTCTTGTATTTTTAAATCATGATAACTTTTTTCTATAAAACATTATTCATCCTGTCTATCTAACACGAGGAGTAAACAATCATGGAAGAAAAAAACAATATATATCGAAAGTGTATTTTAGTTAATTAATTATCTATCTAATATCAAACCACAATTCAAGCATTGTATGTGCATACTAAGTGTTTTGAATAATATAAAATGCTGCCTTCAAACACTTATAATTCTTATACATAGATTTATCACGTCCATTCATAAAAGTCATAAAACTTACGAATCAATGTAAAATAGTATACACGATTTATCATAAACTATTAAAAAGGACATCTTAAATGCCAACTTTTACTACTTGCGCCCTGTTCATGCACTAGATATGCGTAATATTGGATTAAATAACGCTTTAAAATTATATGAAAACAATGCACCACTGTCTAGTCCTTATTTTCAATCATAATTTATATGTTATAAATGACAATTGTGATACCAATGTATGAATTTTAACTCCAGATTTGAATAGGATCTGACTGAAGACAGTAATGAAAGTAAGTTTCAAGATGTATTTTGTTATTCATTTATTTATTTATTTTATTTTTTATTACCATTTAGTTATTTACTTATATTGCATACCAACCTATCTTCTCCTACCAAGATATCTTAATATTGAAAGTAAATGTTAAAAAAGGCACTGTGATACGAAAAGCGTACTAGTCAGTGAATTACTAAATTGTATTGTTTGCATTCCTATATTCAATTGAATGTGTTGTTAGCTTTTTCGTTCTTGCAAACATTATTTACTAATTTTATTACTTTTTTTATTTCCAGATGTTATGTTATTTAGCTATCTTGGTCATAAGCAGCACGTTCTCATATGTTTGTGGGTGTACTTGTGCTCCATTCGATCCAGAGATAGATTATTGTGCACGAACCTCGGGATTTGGTGCGTTTTCGTTTGAATTGAAATCTGCTTAGAAGTTATTTTCTTGTGGTATATCAACATATCGTTTTGTTTTGCTTGCTTTGTTAGTTTTTCCATTGATGTCTACCCGATTTAAACACAATTTTGTCATATCGATCAAACTTTCTGGCTTTCCTAGATAACATTTAAGTAATTACCAATTCCTCCGCAAGTGACCAACTACAAATCGAGAGACAAATAGCCATTAGACTAAATGTCCGAGATCAGTTGTTACGGATATAATACGCTTCGTCGGAGAATGTAACCAGCGACCACTGAATTACTAACCCGATGCTCTCCCTATTGAGCAAACATAACGTAAAATAATATGATTAAAACAGTATTTTGTAAAGGTTATTTATATTTATTACAGTATTGGCTTACAGGTCAAAGAATAACATGGTGTACTTATGATCTGTAGCCGAAATACAAATCTAAAAACCCATAAGATTTTAAGATACATCCAATCACAACATTGGGGGGGGGGGGGCAGTGGGGAACTTTAATATTAAAATACATTATGTTTGAAGAGGTTCCTAATTATTTCTAATAATGTAAATAATTCGTCACATATATTACCTTTGTTTATTTACTTTTTATCACCAATTTTGTTTAAATTTGTATTTGTTATGCATGTAAGTTTGACTTGCCGCAAAAATTGTATTCATATCTGTATTTGCCACATGGGTCTAAGATATTCCGAGTGAAAAATAAATAAACGTAAACATGTACTATTTGAAACTAAAACAAAATAATTATTGTTTGTAATGACATTCATTTCTTGTTTCTTGTAGCTGCTGTGTTTAAAATCAAAGGCAATGGTACTGTTGGCGGGTTTAAACTAGCCTATGATGTTGATATTCTTTACAAATACGTTTTTGAGGTAACAATCATTTTTAATGAAAAAATATTATGAGAAAATATATACATGCACAATTTAATTATATAAAGCATTGAGGTGTTTAATATATCTATAGTGTTATAAATATTTCACTCTTAATTTTGTTGAGTTTCCTGTTGGAGCAGTTCCATTTCAAATGCAGGGAGTAAGAAGAAATAAAAAGTAAGCGTGTACTCTAAAGAAGAAAACAATGGGCGGAAATAAAACTTTTATGTGTATATCAATTCTGTTTTATGTCAAGACAAAATAACGAATTTACTTGGTACAAAAAATTCAAAGAAAATATTACGTTTTCATTTATTAGGTCATAAAATTTGGAATTGTTCTAAATGTTCTATTGTGTTCCAGGCTCCTGGTGAAACTGTGAACATAGATCAGTTATTTACTGCTATATCTGGATCTATGTGTGGAATTCGCTTACGTCCAGATAGTTTCTATATCATCACGGGTAAATGAAGATTTTTTTGAACATATGAATTATACCACATCAAAGATAAAGAGGATATTGAATAAGTATAGGTTCAGTACTGAATTTATTGAACAAGTTGAATACAGTTATATCATGCAAGCCTCTGGCGACTATAATATTACTTTACAGAATGAGTTCAATGAATTTAGTAATGAACCTTCACGAATATAATATTTTTTATCACATATCATCCAAAAGAACAACTGAAACGGTGAAAAGAAATTGCTAAGAACGCACTTATAGTGCCACGTTAACATTCAGCGCGTCTTTATATGTTTGTATAATGCAAACGACTTTTCGTTAAAATATATGCACGGCCGTGCAATGCCATTTTTACGGAGCCGCAGAAGCGGCAAGGGTATGTGATAAATAACGATATGAGAGTGAAACAAATGTGTATGCGAGCGTGCGTGCGTGTGTGTGTATGTGTCGATTTTGTATATCATATAAATATACATTAGTAATGAACCTAAAATGTCATTATACAACAACATATCAATACAATTTTTCTGAATGCGAAGCTTTCAAAATAATATTTAGATCTCTCTTTCTATGCCAAGAAAAGAAGTTGGTATCTCCTACGTAGTAGTTATCCTTTTTATAGAATTTTATAAATTGGCACCAGGACGCAACGCAGTCGTTTATACCTTTTGTTTTACATACGTTGTATCATCAATACAATCGTTTAAACCTTTTGTTTTACATACGTTGTGCCGTAAATACAGCCGTTTATACTTTTTGTTTTACATATGTTGTGCCGTCAACAAAGTCGTTTATACCTTTTGTTTTACATACGTTGTGCCATTTAAACAGTCGCTTATACCTTTTGTTTTACAGACGTTGTGCCGTCAATACAGGCGTTTATATTTTTTGATTTACATATGATGTGCCGTGAATAAAGTCGTTTATACCTTTTGTTTACATACGTTGTATCATCAATGAAGCCGTTTAAACCGTTTTGTTTTACATACCTTGTTTCATGTATACAGTCGTTTAAACCTTTTGTTTTACATAAGTTGTGTCATTTATACAGTTGTCTATACCTTTTGTTTTACATACTTTGTATCATCAATGAAGCCGTTTAAACCTTTTGTTTTACATACGTTGTATCATCAATGAAGCTGTTTAAACCTTTTGTTTTGCATACGTTATGCCATTTATTCAGTCGTTTAAACCTTTTGTTTTACGTACGTTGTATCATCAATGAAGCCGTTTAAACCTTTTGTTTTACATACGTTGTGTCATTTATACAGTCGTTTAAACCTTTTGTTTTACATACGTTGTATCATCAATGAAGCCATTTAAACATTTTTGTTTTACATACGTTGTTTCATTTATACAGTCGTTTATACCTTTTGTTTTACATACGTTGTGTTGTCAGCTTTTGTTTTACATACGTTGTGTCATCAATCAAGTCGTTTTTATCTTTTGTTTTACAGGATATTTTGAAGTAAGACCCGATCAGCCTACAAAAATGGTAACTGCACTATGTTACACACAAGACTACTTCAAAGAGAGTCCTGTCGTAAATGGTGACCCACCGCCGTGCGAGAGATCTGACAAACATGTTGAATTTTCTGAATGATGAATATAGTACATTTATATCACTACATTAAAAAGTGACATATTATACTCGTATGCCCTCAATACATTTAGTATATATAAAATATATTATAGATACTAATTTTAGTCTAATACATGTCACTTTAAAACCATTAAGATCAATTTTTAGCAATTTGATTGCTTTCCGATGAAGCGATGTTTCGGCGCAGTCCGGTGCTTCTCTGTCTTTGTATGCATAGAAATAGAAGAGCAGGTATTTGTAGATACTTAAAATCCGTCAAGAAATAACCAATGTATGCCAAAAAGTGTAGGTTTATAAGTGCCTCGGAGTGTATATAGTATACGTTAAAAATATTTTTTTATGAAATATGGTCGAGTGACCTACATCGTTCAAATTCTTGTATTTCGCTGTTTTTACACAAATAACAGTGAGTCCTCAGGTAAGCGCTTTTAGATCGATGGACCTCTTGTTTTAATCTTGTTCGCCCGATTATCTCAGTAGGGAGATTACCGGATAAGTAAATCTCGGATCACTGATTCGATCCTCGAGTAATTTCTCCATGACAAATGATTTCTAGGACTTGGAGTCTTTAAGTTATTTATCTCTCACAAGGTGTTGGGTTAGTATTTGCTCACTTGCAGAGAAATTGGTAAATACTGGTTAGTTATCAAGGATGCCAGTTAGGTGGATCGACCGCCAAAAAATTACCAACATGTCTGCGTGAATAGCAGATAAGAAAAACAAACATAAACTTGATATTAAGTAAACCTCAGAACATACCAGTTGCCATTTGTTCTGTTGTTTAATGATAATGGTATAAACATTAAATTAGCTTTAAACAATTATTTGTTTAATATAGCACTAACATGTAATTTTTGTTACAGGTTTATTGACAAAATTTATCTACAAAAAGCCATAACAAAACTCATCATGCTTTTACTGGCATATGCAATGTTACTAAAGTATGATTGTTATACGAACAGCAAGTGTTTGCAAATATTTACATCTTGAGAGTAGAGTTCAAATACCGAAGACATTTCCTAATGAAAATTTTTTCATTGGTTGAACAAAGAGATTTCTTCTTCTATTAAATCTTTAAGTTCGTCGATACAGTCATCATCCTTGTTTTCAAGTAGATTTACAGTCGGATTGAAATACTCCCCTATGCGTCGTTTATGTAGACGATGTGCAAACTCTTGTAAAAAGTTCAGATAGCGGTTGGCTAGTTCTTCTTTGTACCAGTATTCATCCTTTGGTAAAATTTCACACAGCCACAAAAGTGTTGTCTGAAAGTCAAATTTATGTATTACAGATAACATTATGTATTAAATTGTACATTTGTATATAAGTCAAATTTTTTATGTTTATCAAAAATGCTGATAAGAATAAGTAAAGATTTTTTTTAACTTTAATATTTACTTTTAATATTTAACTTTATATGTACTTTTACTGGCCAATGTTATCATATAGAAAAAGAGGAAGAACTAGAAATAGAAAATAAATACCTTCAATAGGTACGAGGAAATTTCTTTTAATCCGGTCGTAGATTTTGACTTCCATTGCATCAACTTCCTTTTCATAATTCTAAGGCATGCTTTCCGCCAAGTTTTTGCTTCATCAATATCTCTCAAAAGTTCATTTTCGCAGTTTGCATACGATATTTTCCAATATTTGTCTCCTTTAGGCACCAAATATATCTGCTGACATATAACACTATCTATTTCGTCTTCTGTTAGCCATTTATTAGTGTCGCGTCTTGGCCATCCAAAGTCTGTGACACTTATTGTCTCATTTGATAAGGTTAATTTTGGAGTAATATCTACTGAAATATTTGGCCCGTCGTCCTGTTGAATTGTCAGCGACACAGCCGGACCTTTAACGCCACGGTTTAAACTAACTGCATCAAGTCCTGAAATTCACATTTATGGTATGCAAAGAACAGATCATAACAGTTGAAAATGAAAGAAATTTGGATGGTTGAAATAAATATACGATATATATATATTTACAATCTGGGCACTTCAGGTATGCCAAATGAACTTTTTACACGGTTGACGATAATGTAACCACTTACGATATCAGAATAAAGGAAACATACCATACACAGCATTACTGACAAAGTCGTGAAACTCGGACAGGAGATAGTAAGGCAAAATCATCGTCCGGTTTCTATCCGGTACACAGCAATTTGGAAATCTTGAATTAACCGGCCGAGAAACATAAACAGCTTTAAAGCCATCAGGCACGTAGGGTTCGTTAGGGTTTGGACGTAAGGATCTCCTCTCATTTGGAAAATATCGCTTCCCTGCGTCTACGAAGATCGATAGATTCTACAAAAGTAACGAATTATTAGCGTTTGAAATTAAAGCATATGAGTGTATACATGAATATAGACATGAAGAAGAATTAACGAAACAACTTATTAATGTGTTTACAAACTCAATGGAAATGTATTAATCTAAAAGGTCGGAGAAAAACTGATTTTTTTTATCATAAATCAATGAGTTAAGTATTTGAACCAATCTAAAATGAAAATGACAGTTTAAGAATGTATCACGTTTACCTCATTTTTATCATGACTGTCAATGTCATCTCCCTCGAATTCGAAGTTAACCGGCTCATCAGACAGTTCTAGTTGTTGACAATTGATTAGGACATCAACACTATAATCTAACTCTTCTGCTTTTCCTACTTTTACCCCAACAGCATATGAACCTTCGGTGGTGGCCTCCGTTGAAAAGCGAGCTCTGTTTTCTCTTTTATTAAGAATATTGTCAAGTAGCTCATTAATATCATCATGTGTTTCATTTTTAATATCAACATCTATTGTGACTCTTTCAGAATAGAATTGGAAAATTGAGTCAAGATGTTGGCTACTTAGTTGGGTTTTCCGATATTTTTTGCGTCTAATACTGTTATACGACGGTTTATATCTCCAATTTATACGGTTTGTATCTCCTAGGTAACTCCAATCAGAATTGAAGTTTAATGGTTTGCTATAAATAAGATTATTTTTGATTCCGTGATTGTTTAAAATAAGGGTTTCTCTGTTACTGCTTTGCAATGGTAAACGGCTCTCATTAAAGCACTCAGACGTTTTTTTAATGTTTTCGTGTCTTATTATTTCGCTTTCATTTCTTACATCTGACTGTGTTCCTGTGGGTTGTTTATCTACATGTACCTTTTGCATTGAGGTATTGTCCCGGCTTCCTGATGCGGACTTTTCATCCTTTGAAGTTTCTTTGCTTTTATTTGGTTCCTGTTTTGTTTCGGATTTTACATGGAATGGTGTAAAGTTTTTATGTTCTATGGGTAAAGTTGTAATTTGTGCCTGTGAAACACAATCGTGCTGAATACAGGTAGGTTTATATATGTCTGAGTTGAAATCGTTGTTACAGACATTATAACCGTTAAGTTCACTTTTCAACATCGATCTTAGCTTGCATAGTTCACATTCAAATACAGTCCTAGACGCACTGACAGATGCAGGGACATGATCATTTTCTTTGTATGCAGAATGTAAATGTGATGTTAAGGTTTTGCCCCGGCCTGTTGAATCGGACTTTTCATGCACTGAAGTCACCTTGCTTTTATTTGGTCGTTGATTTATTTCGGTTTTGGATTTTGCATGAAATGATGTTATACATTGATGTTTTATCGGTAAAGGTTTAAATTGTGGCTGAGGAAAACGAACGTGTTGAGTACACATGGGTTGATTTACTTTTTCCGAGTGGGGGAAATCATTGTTACGGGAATTATGACCGTGGAACATGTGCAGTCTATTTTCAAATGCAGCATAAAAAGGATTGGCAGATACATCGGGAGAGTCATTTTCTTTGGTTACAAAATGTAAATATGATGCTATAATATTGTCAATGTGGTTTTCTTTTGTCATAATATCTAATAATTCATTTTTCTTTGTTGTTTCACTACTGTTTACCGCTGCATTACATCCCTTGGGTTTTATAATACTACTTAGATCAGTATGATCCTTGTTTTTTAATTGTCCTCTCTTTTGTTTATCTGCTTTTCGTGGTGTCGATTTACTTAGATATCGCCAGTTCTGTTTAACAACTATACTCTCAGATTCAGTTTTAATTCTTCTAAGCGTTGTCGGACTATATTGCTTAACAACATCATTTTTTACAGATGAATTCTTACTTTCCCGAGTGCTGGTTTGCTCCCGCAAAAAAGGTCGTTGTCGAATCGGAGATTTATCACATGCAGGTGTAACTGTTCCTTCAAAATTTATATTATTTTTTAGCTTTTCCATTTTAACTGCAATTTTTTCATCTCGAGGATTGGTCTCTTTGTTTGGAAATCTTTTAGACGTTGGAATAGTTTTACCTTCTTGGTTTGATTTCTTCTTCATATTTGGGTTCAACTAATCTGAAAGTATTTTTTCAAATTTGTCTACATAATTATATTTTTGAAACAGAGGCTTGATATTGGCCTATATGTTTTTTCACTCGCCTAATCATATATTTTGAATTAAGATATGCATGTTTACTTAAAATCTATTTTTTTTTCATATTAAAATGTATTTATCTCACAAAATTTAACTACTAGATTATACTTTAAATTAATTGCAATTAACGCTTTTCTCTAAATGAAAGTATAACAAAATATAAACATATGCATGTGATTATAACTAGAGGACAAAAAAGGCCCTATTTCGCTCACCCGAAAATCACTGTCTTTACAAGACATATATATTATTTCTCATTTAAATACAATGGCGACTGGTTTCTATATCATCAGGGCAAATAAACATAATATCAAAGCAACAACGTCAATCGACGTTATTTGTATACACATTTATTACCCTTCCAGATTTTTTCCACCTTTTTGATTGGATATTGATCCGTCGAAAGAAATTGATATTACCAGACGGGTAATATAGTATATACACACTAAATATACCCGTTGGGTACCCAACGTTGTAAACAACATGCGCTGTGGCGATGCGCGTACGGTTTGATTTTACGCAATGTAAACTCCGATTTACAAGCACTTTTTATCTGTCAAATGATATATATTTACCAAAATAGAGTAATGAAACATATTCTCATCAGTATTGAAAACAAATATGACCTTGTGAAAGCTTGATATTAATTCCAAAAAAGTGCGTTCAACAGACTACTCCTTTTCTCTTGTTTACATTCGTTTGGTTCGAAAGAACATACGTCATGTTTTTATGTGACGTCGTGTTGTGGTGAAGGGGTGCCCTAAAGCAAATCTTATTTCGACGTTTCATAAGAAGTAGCAATGATTTATATCAAAATCGTCTTAACTCGGCAGGGGAAGGGTAATAAAATTATTATTTTGGTTCTGGAGTGATATATGTGGATATATTACCTGCCAAGATAAAATATCACCCTCGCCTAACGTAGATACACTACGTAGGTGATATAAAGTCTTGACAGGTAATATATCCACATATATCACTCCAAAACCAAAATAACATATAGTGTATCTACGTAAAACTGACCACGTCATCAATTTTTGTTTAGTTTTGGTTTAAACACATTAGTAAAAATAAAGTTCTTTTGATAACCTATTTTATAATTTATAAAACGGAAAAAAAAACAGAAAATTTTGCAGTACTGTTACAACAAACATGTATATGTGTACTAAGAGGAATTTGTCATATCGGTGGATATCTCTTATTTGATCTTCATGAACTGTTATTCTCTTTCTAAGTTTATCCCCAGTTTGACCAATATAAAACTCATTACACCCATTACATATTAGACTCTAGTACACACAGTACATTTTTATTGCACAATCAATGGAATGTTTTGTCTTTGGTTTTTTTTTTAATTACCCTCTTTTACATAGCCACAAAACACGCATCGAGGATCGTTGCTTTAAGATACTTTACGGAAAGTAACGAAAAACCTACAGGTCTCAGGTCTAAATAGACAAACAATACAAACTGTATGTTTATTCTGATATTGTTCAAGATCTTATTTAGTTGTCAATACACATGTAATTATTGTTTATATAATAGATACAGTACTGGCTTTTCTTGAAGTGTTTTCTTACAGAAGTAAGAAGAAAGTTTGCCAGGAGAAACAACAAATTGTCCAGGGCGAAGCCGAAGATAAATTGTTTTTGCCTGCTGTAGCGGACTGTCTTCTTCACGTCTGTAAGAAGACACTTTTGAAGAAAATACGAGTTACTGTATATGACTTTTACGACGATATAAAACATATATATTAATAAACGTATTTAATGATAGACAGACAGACAATTTATTTCAATCAAATAAGGCTAATTAGCCCATGATGACATAATTACAGCATATTCAAAACGCATTTAATGACAGACAGACAGACAGACAGACAATTCATATCTGTTAAAATGATTGTATGAATTACATGTTCTGTTCTAGAAATATTTAGCTACCCAGATAAAAGATGATATAATTTAACATATTAATATATACAGTAGAGCTTATTTCCATAAAAAATATATATTACTATCTATGTTACTTATGACTATTAAGAGGATATTTTTTCGTTTGCGTGAAATATGGAATATATTTTCACGAAACATGATAAAGTGACACATATTTTCACGAGCCGGTACGGCGAGTGAAAATATGTGGCACTTTATCATGTTGAGTGAAAATATATACCATATTTCACGAAAAACGAAAAAATAACCTTTTTATTTAATTTCATTATCAAAGAAACTGGTAACGAATCCCCTTGTTTGCTACCAACTGCAATTGTACAGCGCGCAGTAATTTATGCGTAAGCACGCGCTGTTTGGCGCTACATTGTGACGTCATGTAAACAACTCTTTAAACGTCTGTACAGCGTTAATTACTGAATTAAAGATATTGGTGTTCGGATTAATTTTCTTAGTTAGACCATTTTCTATCATGCTACATAGTTTTCAAAACAAAATTCAAGAAAAAGTTTTTTTTATTTATCAGATTTTTCAAACAAAACGGCGAAAGAAGTCCCTTAAAATAAATATGAGTTTTGACTCCGCCCACTTTCATATTTATATTTCATATTTATTTTTAAAAAATATGAATTATATTTGACTGATAAAGCACCATATTTCATGGGTAAAATTAAATAAATACCTATATCAAAATCTATATTCAATGGTTTATATCAATACCTTTAATTGGCATATAGGACCGAATTTCGAATATTAAAAGCATAAGAGTAAAATATTATTTTCTGAATTTACAATGCGCATACTGCAGTACTGTAGGCTTTATCCAAAAGCGTCTATCAAAATACTTTTTTTCGTATATCAATAAATAACACAAATTCTAATAAAAAAATGATATTTGTCTTCGATTTTACCAAATCTTACACAAATTCTTTCATTTTGTAAACGGGGGGAAGGAGAGTCTCGGTTCGATATCACAACACAGGACCGTTTGCACGTTTGTGTAACTTTCCAAATAAATGAGAATGAAGGCAAATGTAACTTTTATTAATTGTATTAAATGTTTAAGACATCAAAAGTTAATAATTTACATACAGTACATATAAAATAAATAAGGTGGGGGAAATAAGAGAAAATCGGAAAACTTCCGAGAAGTGAAAACAACGGCTTACCGCAATGGTGGTCAGAGGGCTTCTCTTCTTTCATGACGTCAAACCTTCACATCCAAGTGTTCGTTCAAGTTTGACGTCATAAAGTGACGTCATAAACGTGTCCGTGAACAGAACACTTGTTAATAGCAATTGACATACAGAATGAGATAAATTTACGTTGGCAGAAGTGCCAAATAATTCGAAATACTTATATGTTTAGCAGAGTAATATAATTGCCTAGTTTTAAATCGTATAGTATCAGTAGTTACCATAATGGAAATTAAGATATCAGAAATAAATGGAAGTATAGTACTTAATATGTCAAGTAAATTTGGTCATCTGTTACACTTTAAAGGGGTCACATGTGGCCTAGACCATCTACAAGCTTCTATCTGTAATCTATGAGAAGAGACACGTAAACGGGAAAACACTTGACAAATTTTTGATCATAAAAACATTCTAAGTTTGGCTGAAATCTAAAAGATGATATTGTATTATAAAATAAAGTCCTAATGGATTGATAAAGTCTTGCGTTCCAGTTCTTAATAAAATGATCATTACACCTTTGTGTTGTTATATAGACAGAAACATGTCCTACTTCTTGGTATCTAATTACAAATAATGTATGTTCTTGTTGAAAATACATGTATAAAACTATAGAAAATATTTACATGGCCTAAAAGCTTTTGGCAGCGCAAGGTGTGGCAAATTGTATTTGCACGAAAATTTCGTGCACTTATTTTAATCGGACATAATTCACTCATTTATAAACAATGTTAAAATGACTGTCTTCAATAGAGTCTTATTTACTAAAATCGATTATGTTGATCAACATTGAAACAAACATTAAGCATGTATTGCATCAATGTTATATGGATAACGTTTTCGACCTAAACTTTGGTAAGTTTCCTTACTTGTTTGATGACGGGAACATGTTGTTGTTTTTTCTTTCTTTCTGATACTATGTCAGACGTTATAAAACAAGAGCTGTCACAGGAGACAGCGAAGCTCGACTAATAAATACTGGACGCAGTAAGGAAGACAAAACTATGAAAAAAAATCAATTATGTATAATTATGTATTAAGTTATGGTAAAAAAATAACATTGTTAACATAAATTCCAAGATCAAGGGGAATAATTCTAGAAATAGTCACGCTAGAGTTATGAACCTTGTCACACAACATGTGTGTAATGATAAGAAATATATATTTGAAGTTTGAAGTAGATACCTTAAAAAGTAAAGAAGTTAAAATATTTCTTAAAGAAAATCCTAAGTTCAAAGAGAGATAAATCTGTAAATATTGCTTCAAGAGTTAAGAACATCGTCACATAAAATGTAATTGATGATTAGGAATAAGTATTTGAAGTTTAAGGTAGATACCTTTAAAACTAAAAAAGTTATAGTAAAAAAAAACTTACACTTTAAAACAAGTGCCTGGCGCAATCTTTCAATCAGTCTCATTGTTTACTATACAGTACATACGGTGTCACAGTGAAAATATCTTTCGTTATTTTTACAAAATAATTTTTATAATTATATTTTTTTACATTCTTGTACATTAATCATAACAATTTAATGAAAGAAAACTAAAATGATATAAAGTATTCTATTTTAAAATTAAAAGTGAAAAAAATATATTCGGCTCTCTAAAGCCGAATTTACTTGTGTTGGCAGTGGTAACTGTACTGATCCGGGGAAGTAACCGCTGCGGGAAGTTTGGCTAGAGTTATGAACCTTGTCACATAAGATGGGGATGATGATAAGGTACATATATTTGAAGTATGAAGTTGATCCCTTAAGAAATAAAGAGGTAACAGTAAAAAATAGTATTTTTTAAGGAAAATTCTAAGTTAAAGGGGAGATAAATCTGAAAATATTGTCACATGAGATGTGGTTGATGATAAGGAACATATATCTGACGTTTGAAGTTGATACCTTAAGAAATGACAAAGTTATAGTGAAAAATATGTTACTGCACCAAAACTTTAATCTGAAATGCGGATGCCGACGCCGGGGCGAGTATGACAGCTCTCCATATACTTCGTATAGTCGAGCTAAAAATGATAAGAGTTTCAGCATCTTCCAAAGAACAACTGGGAAAATATTCAATGCTGAAATCAACTTCCAGGACCATCCAATTTATTTTAAGTTCGTTATGTACAACTTCCAGTCCGTTTCTATGGTGTCCTGTATGAGGCAGTTAAAATATCGCCTGTTAAGACTAGCTTAATCTTTGTTTTAGCACGACTTTTTGAAGAAACGTTTCAGGTGCCCGTTCGTGCCTGAAAAAAATGCAAGAGGGTACCTGAGGTCTCCTCCACCAGTTACAGCTGGAACGTCGCCATATGACCTGTGACGTAAAACCCAAACAAGTACTGACAATATAGGAGTGCACTGCTCTAATGTTCATAGATAAGTAGCGAGATATAACATTCGCTTTTAAAAAAAAAAATCTATAGTCACGGTTACTGTAATCGAAAGAATCATGCGAGATTTTCTTACATTTTGTTTATCAAATGGATTCAGTGAAGTCTGCGAAAAAATTCAACGTTGAATGGCGCCAAATCTTTATTCGAGAATGTAAAATTTTGCAGCTTTAACTACAAAGATACAGAAGGGCAACATGAGGCTTAGAAGAAATACATTGCATGTCAAAAGGTGTCATTTAATTGGCCTAAGTAGGACACTGTATATTTCAGCTGCACTAAACCCAAATGGAAGTTAACTGTTAAATAAAAGTGTCTTCTTATAGACGTAAGAAGACACTTTTTAAATAGGTTTGCTGGGGTAGTCGTATAAGACCAGATCTATAATTAAACTTAGTTTGATTAAATACATTTTAATCAAAGTTTAGTAATATGGATATTCTTTCCATCACATTTGCATACATTAAAGATCATGTTTCTTTTATATAATTATACAGCAAATCAGTTTTGATTCAATCAGGCATTACATAAGCAACAAATCTAAAATGAAGTGTGTCCATTTTAATTTTTATTAACTTCCAATATTTTGTTAGTTGGTTGTGATATACGTCAATCCGACACTGTAAAAGTAATGTGACAACTTCCCAACATAGCTACTCAGGCGCACCTATGTACAAATGTACATTATTTCAACACAGCAAGTATATCAAAATTGAAGATTAACAAAACTGTAAATTTCAATGTTTTAATGATTTATAAAAAATCATGCAGTAAATACATTTAAACAATACATTTCAACAATCATTCATACACTATTAAGTAATTGTACACTTATTTTTCCACAATTATTACAAACATAAACACTTATGACTCTGAAATGACCTATTATCTATATATCAAAGGTTCTCACTATTAAAGCTAGCCTGGATTCCAGTCTGTCGATTTATGTGCTTCTATTTGATTTATGTGCTTCTGTTCAGCAAGTTGATACTATCAAAAATGGTGATGTGCTCACGAACAAGTACGAAATAACACAAGTACGAAATAACGTATAACTATGTTATGAATAATAAAAAAAAAAATTAACGCCTGAAGCCCTGGGTATCTCTAAGCTTCCTTTATTTATACAGGGTCTTTCAAGAAGAAAGACCCAGATTTATACAAGTGTGAGCAGGCCTTTTGAGAATAGATTGTCAAAGGTTTATCTGCTACAGTAATTTTTTTTAATAAAAACAAGATAATTTTAGGAAAACAAGATCATCAAAGGAATGAGTCTGTGAGAATGTTTGACATTCAAGTCATTAAAATAGACATCTGAAGTTGGGTATTTAACCTTCCCTTATGGGCAATTAGTAGAAAACCAAAAATTCCTTCAAGCTTACAAAGTTCTCATGTTCATGCTAGCTTATTATTCAAGGCCTTAAACACAGTAATTTTTCAACTGATTATCACTTGCTATTCATCATCATCAGTATCATCGTCTGAATCATCAGTATCATCACTACTTTCCTCTGAACTTATCACTTTCTTCTTCGATGGTTTTGCAACAGTCAATTGATTCTGTTGACCTTGACCTCTACTTGATACCCGTGACCTTGACACTGACCTAGATCTTGGTTGTGATTGTGGAACACTTGTTTTTGTTACCATGACAACTGGGTTAGAATTGTTCATGTCCAATGGTGCAGAATCAGCCTTTGTTTTAATAGGAACAGTCCTGTAAAGTAGTTCAATAAATTGTTTAAACATAAGAAAACAACAAAGCATGCAGTTCATCAGGACAACTGCCATGATAAAAACTAAGTAACTATTTAGTTTCAGTAGCCCTTTCAAAGCAAATACCAGCATACCAACTGTACCTCAATAAAACATAATTATTCAAATGTTTGTGAACTTTCATAGATGTAAAGTCAGGAAAGACATTCATAGTTAGGTACAAAATGATTTTTCCTACTACCTTTAAGAAGCAACATGTCTAATGAGATCTGTAAATTTCTCTTATAACATTAATTAAAAGTTAAATTACATTTTTATGATTGTTTGAAACAAAAATATTAGTGACATTGAATGATGCTTCCTTATGTTGCTTTAAAAATAACAGCAACAATAAAGAGTTTAGGTCCATCAAATGTAACAACATGCCAAACATTGTAAGATATCAGTCAATAAATAACACTGGTGCCACGAGAGACCTTATGTGTAACTGATGGACAGAAGGAATGATGGGAGGACAGGGTGAAGGTCAAGGACAAACTCAACCTTTTTATTGGAAGCAAAGAGACAATAATGGAACAACAGTTAAGTTCTGACAGGACAAATCCCTTTAAACAAATTAAGCATGTTTAAAAGGGTAAACAATCTTTAGTTTATTGACAGGGATATCATGATGAAAATTTGATGTTAATCAACAAACTGTTTAAAGAGCTGTTGGACATACATGGTTGACAGGACCTGGTCACTTTTAGGTCCAGCAGGCTAAGATAACCTAAATATACCTAAGGCTATAAAAAATAAATTCCTAGATTCTCATCCCCGCCCGCCCGGCAAAAATTGCTCCGCCCGAACGATTTTTATTTTCAAAAAAAAAAAAAAAAAGAAAGAAGAAAGGAAGAAAGTAAAAAAAAAGAAGAAAAAAAAGAAAGAAAAAAATAGTTTATATCTAGAACTTAACATTTGATTACCGTGTACAAATGCCGAGGACTGAATGTACGTATATAAGTGCATGATTATTATCTGTGCGGCAGAAAGTCCGTCCGTCTCGGTCCTGGCTGAATAAAAATCGGATCATGCGGTCCGAGATAATTTTCTTACTGCCAATCCTCTGGTCCTAATAAAATTTCAAAGAGCTAAAGATAACCAGTTTTGACAGTTAAATCGAAATTTGTTAAAGAACTTTAAAGGTATTGACCCACAGAAGACCAATTTTGGACAAGTCCGATACTGCTGTAAACAGCTGTAAGCTTGTCAGTTCATAAACAACATCGGTAAATTTTGCCGTAAATTACAAATTAGGATTTATTTTTTACAATGCTTTTTTAAAAGAGAGAATGAATAATCATAAAATATTTTATCTGATAAAATTAAAATCAACAACAACTTGAATTGTGAATGGTTATGCAGGAAACATCTAGACATTTTTTTCATTTGTCACATATTTTCGCAATGCCGATTTTTAAAAGTTAATCTCTGTACTTTCTTTGCCAAATTTTCAATAGGTTATATGTTATTATTTTTGCTATGTGATAAATAAATAGGATTTTCTTTTTGTGTAGCTTCATTGGTTGATTAATTAATTTTTAACAGACTTCACTCCAGAAAAAAGTAATATAGATCGACATAGGCATAGTACATCTTTATTCAACTCTTTTACAAAATAAGGATATCTTATTTTGTAATATACATGTATGTATTGATTATTATTTTGTTCAAACATCAATTTGTTTGATGTCGGAAAATGAAAGGTTCAATAAAACAGGTCATAACAATCAAGATATATTATCATGTAGCTTCCATTCTCAATCGAAATCTATACATACACATAATATAAGCACCTAAATAGCTTATAATAGAACTAATTCCCAAATATTGCTCTCCTCGCATGTAATTTCCAGACCGAGAATGGAAAATAAAAAATAGAAAATAAAATCCACCCACCCGCCCCATTTTTTTCCAAAATTTGGATGAGAATCTAGTTATTTATTTTCTATTGCCTAAATAAGTTAATAATTACCACTCATTACCTTACATGTCCTTAAACAAGTTAATATATTGCTACCTTGAATGTGTAAGATAAATTTAAGTCTCAGCTAAAAATATTTAACAAACTATTAGTTTAAACATATTCAATCCAACATTCAGTTCAAAGGGATGACAGAAACAAAAAGAAATATTACACATATTACAAGAGGGCCATGATGGCCCTGAAGTCGCTCACCTGTATATAGGCCCCCGGAGCGGGGCCAGTTTAAACCCCAGGGCTTTTATTTGAACAAACTTGGTAGACACCCATTAGAAGATATTTCATGCTTAACATCTAAGGTCTAGCTGGTCAAGTTTTTTTCTTTACACATATAGTTAAAAACAATGACACACCTGGGGCAGGGCCAGTTTTGACCCAAGGGCTTTTATTTGAACAATCTTTGTAGACACTTACTAGAAAATGTTTCATGCTTAATATCTAAACTCTAGCTATTCGGGTTTTTTCAAAGAAGACTTTTAAGTTTTTGCTATACACATATAAGGAAAATCAATGTCAGCCCGAGCGGGGCCAAATTTTTTGACCCCAGGGCTTTTATTTGAACAAACTTGGTAAGACATCTATTAGAACATGTTTCATGCCAAATATCTAAGCTCTAGCTCTTTGGGTTTTTTAGAAGAAGATTTTTTAAGTTTTTACTATATGCATATAGGGAAAATCAATGACCCCCCTGGGGTGGGGCCAATTTTGACCCCAGGGCTTTTATTTGAACAATCTTGGTAGACACTCATTAGAAGATGTTTCATGCTTAATATCTTAGCTCTAGCTCCTTGGGTTCTTTAAAAGAAGATTTTTTTAAGTTTTTACTAATTTATGCATATAAGGAAAATCAATGACCCCCTGGGGCGGGGATAATTTTGACCCCAGGGCTTTTATTTGAACAAACTTGGTAGACATCCATTAGAACATGGTTCATGCCAAATATCTAAGCTCTAGCTCTTTGGGTGTTTTAGAAGAAGATTTTTTAAGTTTTTACTATATGCATATAGGGAAAATCAATGACCCCCTGGGGTGGGGCCAATTATGACCCCAGGGCTTTTATTTGAACAATCTTGGTAGACACTCATTAGAAGATGTTTCATGCTTAATATCTTAGCTCTAGCTCTTTAGGTTCTTTAAAAGAAGATTTTTTTAAGTTTTTACTATATGCATATAGGGAAAATCAATGACCCCCTGGGGTGGGGCCAATTTTGACCCCAGGGATTTTATTTGAACAAACTTGGTAGACACTGATTAGAAGATGTTTCATGCTTAATATCTTAGCTCTAGCTCTTTGGGTTCTTTAAAAGAAAATTTTTTAAGTTTTTACTACATGCATATAGGGAAAATCAATGACCCCCACGGGCGGGGCCAATTCTGACCCCAGGGCTTTTATTTGAACAAACTTGGTAGACATCCATTAGAAGATGTTTCATGCCAAATATCTAAGCTCTAGCTCTTTGGGTTTTTTAGAAGAAGATTTTTTAAGTTTTTACTATATGCATATAGGGAAAATCAATGACCCCCTGGGGCGGGGCCAATTTTGACCCCAGGGCTTTTATTTGAACAATCTTGGTAGACACTCATTAGAAGATGTTTCATGCTTAATATCTTAGCTCTAGCTCTTTGGGTTCTTTAAAAGAAGATTTTTTTAAGTTTTTACTATATGCATATAGGGAAAATCAATGACCCCCTGGGGCGGGGCCAATTTTGACCCGAGGGATTTTATTTGAACAATCTTGGTAAACACTCACTAGAAGATGTTTCATGCCAAATATCTAAGCTCTAGCTCTTTGGGTTTTTTAGAAGAAGATGTTTAAAGGTTTTTTTGGTTGCCATGGCAACCAGAGTTCTGCATGGAATGGAATTCTTTGAACAACTTTGTTAAGGCTTCACACAAGGAACATCCCTGTGAAGTTCATTATGATCTGCCTTATGGTTTCAGAGGAGATGTCGTTTGAAAAGTGTGAACGGACAACGTACGACGGACGACAGACGATGGACGAAGAGTGATCCTAATAGCTCACCCTGAGCATATGCTCAGGTGAGCTAAAAATAGGTTAAATACATGTATATTAGCATATATAAGCAAAAGCTGAAGCAGCAAATATTATATGATTATTTATGTTAATGGAACAGAAATCTTTGTGTCATTATTTTTCAAAAGGTATATATCATTTTATGTATATCATTAAGCTACAAACACAAGTTTCAACTTAAAAGAAAAAAATGTGAAGGAGTCACATTGCTTTGTTCCCCTTGCATAAATAATCATTTCTGTTTTATAAATATTAGGTATTACAGTCAAACAAATAAATTATCTTTTTAAAATATTTTTATCTTTTTAAAATATTTTAAGTTGATCCCAGTAACTGAAACAAATAAGTACATATATAGTATTATACTTACAAATTACACTTTTTTGTACACTTACAAATTACAACTTTTATGTACACTTACAAATTGCCACTTTTCTGTATACTTACAAATTGCCACTTTTCTGTACACTTACAAACTGACACTTTTCTGTACACTTACAAATTACCACAGTTCTGTACAGTGACAAATTACAAGTTTTCTGTACACAGACAAATAACAACTTTTCTATGACACATTTTGATAAAGATTTTATCTTCTGACACTGGTTTTCAGCCATATTTCAGCCATGCTGAAGAGTTATCCTTTCAGGTACATGTATATTTATTCTTTATTTATTATAGCCTTTCTTTTCTGTACAATTATTCATGATCTCATAACCTTTTTTTCAATACCAATTTAATACCCACTTGCTGTACTCAAGTATGACTAACTTTGGCAATATTCTAATTATGTAAATTATCATGGCATTCTGTGAAAGTAACATTAATTTTATTTTTCATGGTTTAACTTTGGCAATATAATATATGTTATTATGGATTTTTCTAAGTCTTTTATGACAAACTTTGGCAATATTTCAAGCTATCATGCTTTTTCTATGATAA